TCGAGGGACCGGGCGCCAAGTTTGCGCTGGTGGATTTATCGTCGGCCGAGCGCTCTAGGTGGGATCCAGCAGAGTTGTAGGAGGGTGGGGGGTCGGACATGTTGTGGGTCAAGACGCAGATGCGACAAGACGTCACTGTTTAAATAAGGCGGGACGCACAGCTATTAAATCAGGGCTGTGCATTCATTAAAAATGGAAGAGAAACCGGACCGCCATGATAAACGTACAGAGTAACTTCCTCACCAGAGTGAGCATTTGTCTTCTGTGGAAATGTTGATAGGGAGGTCGGGCAGAGACACAGTAAGACACAACAGACGGCGTTCACCAAAAAAAAAAACCTTTGAGCGGAAATGACTGGCGTATTAACCCAACAGCTTTGTGGGGGGCTGTTCGAGCGCTTTCCGACAGCTTCACCTAGATTAACATGTTATCCCGCGGTTGTGTCACTTTGAGCAAGGGGAGGAAGTGTTAAAGATGTACAGAAGACGAGGAGAAATTATGACAAACCTTTGATCGCCCAGTGGACGCCGACAAGTGTATCGGGGGTCAGTATATCTTCTGGCGGTTATTCCTTCATCGCGGTAAACCTCGCCCAGGCGGGCGAAAGATTGTCGTGCGGAGAAAAACCACTAGCGAAGAGCAGCGCACCAACAGCGCACGAAGTCTTCGACTCTTCGAAAAGTGGAACTTATCGGTGAGGTTAAGGCTTGGTTGATTCATTGAGAGGCTCAGGTAGAGATTTTCGGCGCCCGGGAAGGGCAAGGTGGAGAAGAAGAACCCACGAGGTTCAGTGAATATTTGGTGAATATGGATGGGAAGACGCGTGTGACAGTCAAATCGTGATTGTGACATGGCTTGATGGCCGAAGCCTCGTTGTCCCAAACGTCCATGGCGGGATTTCTTTAATCGACCCTGGCGTACTTACCACTGGCCTCGGAGCTGACTGAATCCAATAGGCTTTGCTTCTAACCCTAAACCGCCAATGTTGTTAGCGCTTATGCACTTGAGAGGCGTTGCTCAGCGGTCAAGATTCGGCATATCTAGCATCGCGCCGCGGTCTTTTCTTGCGTGCAAGCATACATAAAGACTCCACAGGGTGTACCCAGGGAATCGAAATTGAGGATGCCCGCCGCCATGAGTTTGCAGAGTGGTGGGAATGCGGTGGTGAGTCGCTAACCGTTTCTACTTTTTCGATCAACGCAGATGCTAACGTTAGTGACCCTAGCTCGTTTTCAGGGTGTACTACGTGGCCACAAGTAACGCCACGACCATAGGGAATACATGCAACCCACGCGATCAGCAATGCGGGCGCAACTCTTTGCAGCTCTCTTTGCCTTCTTCGCCAGTACTACCGTGACTGAGACGACAACGACGATCTGACTCATCATCTGAGGCCGTTTGACTTGTCTCTGTTCAGTCTTGTTGCCACGAACGACGTATGAGACTCGCCCTTTTCAATCTCCGTCCGCCTACCCGCGTTGCCCTTACTCCATGTAACTCAAAGGTACGTGCGCATTTCTCCTCAGCTTTGCCACAAACTGACGTCCGAGTCTTTCATGCACAGCTTCCACCCCGCCTGCTGACGAGCGGGAGCACGACAGTGAGGGTATCTAAGACGCGGTGCTTGACGCGCGCGAGCCCCACATCGGATAGCGCCACACCGAGCAACGGGATGTGCAGGGCTCGACGGCTTTGATGGTGGTACGCGTGCGAGCGCGCTCATGACGAAGGAGTGGAAGCTCACGGTCCTTGACGCGGAGTCCGGAAAGAGGTACGCGTTTCTTCGTCCCAGTATACGACCTGCTAACGGGGCTTCTTCTCTTCAGCTTCCCTCCGAACGCTGAGAGGGAGTGCACAGTGGCTGGCCGATGGGGACGTCGATGCGCGGTCTCTTTGCTGCCAGGGAGATACGAGGTTCGTGCGCCTTCTTGTCCTCACCATCCATCCCCCTTATTCATCGAGTTTCTCTCTGTGTAGCTACACGACCTCTGAAGACCGCTGGCATCGTTGGTGAGCGACTCGTCGTGGATGTACGGCTCTGGCACCGTGCTTGACGCGCGATCGCCCCACACAATCCCCGCCGGCGGGTGGATGCGCAGTGGATGGTTAGGCGCGCCGACGGAGCTGTTGGTGGGATTGAATATCCAAGACACGGTGCTTCACGCTCGCGTGCCTCATATATTCGATAGCACCGCACTGCACCGGGCGATGGGGATGCGCTGGGGACTCGACGACTTTGATGGTGGTACGCGCGGGTGCGGTTATGCTTCGGGAACGGATGCTCACCGTCCTTGACGCGGATGTCCGTCACGATGTACATGCTTTATTCATACCGTTATACGACTTGCTAACAGGGTTTTTTGTCCTTCAGCATCCTTTCCGAACGCTGAGAGGGAATGCACAAGGGCTGGTTACTGGGGACGTGGTAGCTTATCGTCGCCGCGAGGAAGATATGAGGTGCGTACGCCTCCTTTTCCACACCGTCCCCCTTATTCATACAGTTTCTCTGTAGCGATTCTCAGTTTCTCTGTAGCGATTCGTCGTGATGTACGGCTCTGGCACCGTGCTTGACGCGCGATCGCCCCACCCAATCGCCGCCGGCGGGGGGATGCGCAGTGGATGGCTAGGCGCGCCGATGGAGCTGTTGTCTGTACGTCGATCTGGGTCCTTGATGCGCATGTGGTACGTGTGCTGCTTCACGTGCCGTGTATCCCGTTAACAGCTGTCTTTCTTTGCAGCTTCAGCTTCTACCCAACGGCCCCGCCCTCCGAACAACGACAGTTAGACGGGGTGCGTGTCGACAGCGTGAGGGGGATGCGCGTCGAGGGAGACGTCGACGTCGATGTGTGGTCGATGCGCGTACACGACTTTCTTTTTCCTTGCCCGCACCTACTCATAGACTTGTTCCACCGCAGCTTCACTCTTCACGTTGGCCACACCGCCGCGGTCAGGGTACGTCAGTTAGTGCCGAGGGAGGCGTCGCCCGGTCCCCGCGCGCATGGTTTGATGCGCATGTGGTACGTGCGCCACATCACCTTTCCTGCCACTTGCTAACGGTTTGCCTGCAGCTTTGTCAATCGGCATTCACACCCGGCCAGTGGTTGGCGCTCTTGAGTACGACGACGTGTATCCTTGCCACATGGCGCTCGACGCGCGCACACCCCAGGCATATTGGGTATGAGGTACGTACGTCTTCTCGTCCTCACTCCCATATTGGTGGGCTATGCCGCTCTTCAGCGTTCGTCCCGCCCGTCTGTTGCACGGCGCTCGATTTGCGCACACCCCAGACATATTGGGTACGAGTATGTACACCCTCTCCTCCTCACTCTCCTCCCATTCTGATTGGTTTTTCTGCTCCTCAGCTTTGGCCCCGCTGCGCCGCACCGTGACTGCATACATGGACTGTCCTGGGCGGGATATGTATGCGGTGGTAGCGCCGCCGCTGCCCAAAGAATGCGCAGCGGCTGGGTGGGCATGCGTGTTAACGCGCCTGTGGGAGCGTCGAGCTGCGGATTTCGACGTCGGTGGGCTAGCGGGCAACGAGGAGGGTGCGGATGCGTGCCACGTGGTGGTGGTCGAGCCGCCGCCGCCGCCGTCGCCGACGGAATGGGCAGGTTGGAGGGCCGTTTCGAGTGTGTCGCTGAGATGTCGGCGTCGGTGGAGAGGCGGGGCGGCGCGAAAGTGTATGCTTACTGCACCATGCTGGAGGCACGCGCGTCCGCCAGTGCAATCGACGCCGCTGCTGGTCGGTGCGTCGCTGAGATGGTACCGAGGTGGGGCGTGCTCGACGCGTCGTACGCCCGCAGCCGCCGCCGGAGCGGCTGGGTACGCCCGTCGAGGTGGGGATCCTGGCGTTGGTATTGGGGGTGGAAATGGGGGAATAAGTCGGTGCGCGCGCACCCCGCCCAGGACGGCGTGGGGCATGGCGAGGAGCGGATGATGCGCCCGACGCCGCCAATGGGAGAGGCGATCACTGGATGGGTGAAGAGGACGGCGCAAAGTAGGAGGATGAAGAGGAAATCCGGCGCCGAGGAGGCACCGTACCTCGCACGGTCGCATGAGCCAGGAGTCCTTTGCCTCGCCGCGCTCCTCCTCGTCGGCCGGCTCCGCGTTCTTCTTCGCAAGAACTGCCGTCCGCCGATCGCAAACGGGTCGCGCGCCCTCACTCTCTCCCGGTCCTGCTGGGCCTCATCTCCAGCGATTCTCCGCAAGAACGAGCGTCGGCTGAAGACAAGGGCTTGTCGACAATCTTCCGCAGACGTATATCCGTCCATTCGAATCTTCGCTGGGCATGGACGAGACGTTAACTACGCGTCTATCCGACGAGTGCGAGGGCTCCCAGAGCGACCCGGGCGTCACTTTCCTTGTGGCGTGCGTTTTCTTCACCGAGACCATTGATCCTCTGGCCGGTTTTTCGTACATCCTTTCCCATCCGTTCATCCATCTCCCTCCCTTCCATCTCGTCAAACCATCCTCCATCACCTTTCCCCTCAATTGCCCGTCTCGTCTGTCACCTTCCCTCCCATTGCACTTTTATGGGGAGCTGGACGAATCGTGGATTTAAGCGCCTGTGCTTACGTAATTAGCGCCCATCGACCTCCGTTTCCGTACTTTGGCACTCTTGTACATGCACGTCCTTTGAGGCACGGAGCATGTGTCTGGACTGGCTGATCTCTGCGGGGTGTGCTGGCCATCCTGGAGATGTCGGACTTGATGGTCCAATGTTGGTTGGGGTCCACTGCCTTGCTTTGGCTTTCACTCCCTGAATCGAATTGTGTATTGCGCGCGAGCGCGAACACTTCCATTCGACATAAATAGAACCACTCATTACACTCCACCGAGTGTGTTGATCGTACTTAATGTGGGTAGTGCGAAAACCAGGGAGCTAAGTATATGTATGAACTCGTGTGTTAGCGCAAGAAGCTATGGTGGGCAGATCGTTGTTTTGCGTCAAAGAATTGTACGCAATTTGGCAAAAGCAAAATATTCGCCTACATGAATGCATTAAGAGGGAATCGAACCCCCGGCGGGTGGAATTTCTGACTGAGAAATCCGGAAATGCTCCACCCCCAAAAATGCCGCTGCGCGGCATTTTTGGGGGTGTCGCTTAGGCAACGACCCAGGTTACCACTACCCCATTAATGCTGTGCAAACTCCACAGCCTCGCTGCAATTCTGCTAAGTCGAAAGGGGGGAACGGACTTAGAAAAAAATCTGCGGCGACGCCTGGGGCTGACTGGCGGTAGGTCGAAATTGATGCGCCCGGATGCAACTGCGAACAGCGGCATGATCGGGTTGATGGCTTCCTTCCTCACCACGTCCTCTTCCGATTCTAGCGACGTTCTGCACTGGAGTGTATGGCCGGACAGTGGAAGACTCGGATGGTCGGCCATCGCGCGCAGATTTCGCGCTTAAGTATACGCGGCGATGGCTGAATCTGATGCATCACAAGAAGCCTTCGACGCTCAGGCTCTCTGGGGTCCCCACATCAGCAAATTCCCGGAAAGATTGCAACCGATTGCCGGGCTTGCAATCAAGCCGGTATCTTGCAAGCGGCGCAATCGCTTGCAACCGCACGCAATCGACTTGCAACAGAGCTGCAATGTACGAAATATATTTTGCTTGTTGTATACGTGTTGTACGCCGATTACCACTCCAATGTAACACAGTTGGGTGGCTGGCTGGGACAGGCACTGTCCATGTTCATGGCCGTCACCCCAGTATTTTGGGCCACACAGAGAACCAAATCCTACCCATCCACCAAGGAGAATGGATATATAGACAGACTCGAAGATGTGAATCATGGCCAGGGGATTGTGAAAGAATCATCCCTTCGATTGAGCGTTAAGTCATTCAAACTCCGCTAACGCCGAGATCAAGCAACGCGGAATGGCGTGATTGATCGCAACAATTGGTTGGTTGCTCTCAACGTCGTCTCTTTCCCCCACTTTCTTCACCGCCCTGCGATGCCTCAAGCTGCTCTTCTCTTCAAGCATGTCGCTGTGCGCCTGCCATATTTAAAAATCTGTCAGGACTGGTATTCAAGTAGACCACCTTATCATCAAGGTCGTCGCAAAAGCTCTCCGTCACTGCGCGGCAAAGTTCTTCGAGCTCTGGTCAAGCTCTGGTCCTCAATTCAAAAACCCAAGATCTTCAAACTTCTTGCTTCACCTACCTGGGATATCAACCCGTATACCACTCTGGACCGTCTCGACAAGAACCCTCAACGCCGCGCAAGACTTGACACAGCCTCAAGCCCATCGTCCTCTGGGAGTCGAGCGTGAAAGTGGGGTCGTACGGTGGAGGGGGTTGTGTGGTGGAGGGGAGCCAGTCCGCTGCCTTTGACGTGACGGCGCGCGGTGAATGGCGTTGCGGCGCTGCCATGGTGCCTTCAACGGCTCTTCTAAGACCACTTTGATGCCTCGCCCATCGACGCTGGAAATCTCCTTGCTTGGTGGAGGTGCGTAATGTGTTGGCCCAGGTCGTTTTTGCGCTGACAAAGTAGTTTCGCAGGTGATCTTTTTCTTCAATTTCGGAAGGATCCCTGAAGCATCGCGCTGAAGCCCCGAGCAGGCGGCCTCCTCGAACTCCCTCTGGGCCCGCCGGCGACGACCATTAGGAATTGTATTATCATAATTATCCAATGCATTATATTTTTCAATCACGGTCCCCCACGCCGGCTCCCGGAGTACAATATATGATTCTTGCGACCATCTAAAAACCTCTTCCCCTCCTTACAGCACGATTACCATCTGAAGGCAACGTGAATGCAAGCTAGATGCAAGGTGCTTGCAAGATGCTTGCAAGGTACGCAGGGCGATTGCAAGCGCTTGCAAGTGATTGTGTCGCTTGCAACCTCTTGTAAGCAGCTTGCAAGCAGCTTGCAAGCATCTTGCGAGTGATTATGGCACTTACGACCGCGTGCAACCCGGTTGCAGCCGGATCGTAATTTTGCCGGGATTCCGCTGATGCAGATTGCGACCACTATCTCACTATCCACGCTGAGCGGCTGCTCTCGACCTATGTGCGGAATCAGCGCAGTTTATGCAACCAGCAGCCCTCTGCTTTCTCGGGAAGAGGTTGCTGTGCAAGTGAGAGCATCGCTGAAAAACATCCAGCACCGCGGTCCTGATTCGTCTGGCGTCTACGTCTCTCCGAATGGACGCGTGGGTGGGTCGAGCTTTCTGCTTTCCCCTCCATCCTTTCATTACCTCTAGCTCTCGGGCATGTCCGACTGGCTATCATCGATCTTCAGACTGGTCAACAACCTTTGTCGGACGAAGACGACGCCATTCACTGTGTCGTGACTGGCGAGATCTACGATCACGAAAGGATTCGAGCAGAGCTTCAAGCACTAGGGTCCGTCTTTAAAACCAACTCGGACTCGGAGCTCGTGGTCCAGCTGTGCGTCCTTTTTTATTGTACGATACTGCCAATTGGCTAACCCTTTGATATCGGGTTTGATCAGGTACAAGCACCACAGCTTCAGTCTGCTCTCATTGTTGCGCGGAGAGTTTGCATTTGTGCTTTACGATTCCAAGCGCCAGATAATGTTTGCTGCCCGCGATCGCTTTGGTATAAAACCGCCTTATTACACTGTCGTTGAAGGCCGCCTTCTCGTTGCTAGCGAGATGAAGGCGCTGGTTCCATTTGGATGGAAGCCAACCTGGGACATTGACAGCATCGTCCAGAACGGCGAACTTACCAGCGATCGAACCATTTTCAAAGGAGTTCGGAAGGTATGGTTCACCCTCAATGTCGTGTGTGAATTCTAACGAATTGCGTTTTACCAGCTTCCGGCCGGACATTCTTTGCTATTTCGTCCCACTGGCTACCTCAAAACCGAGATATATTGGGATATAGATTATTGCTCTCCGGATACCCCGCAGACGTCTACCGTCGACGAAATGATTTCCAACGTTCGTTCGCACATCTTCGAGGCAATCAGGCTCCGTCTACGCTCCGATGTGCCGCTTGGGATATATCTGAGCGGCGGCATCGATAGCGCTGCGGTTGCGGGAATGGCGGCGAAGTTGCTGAGGGAGAAGGATCCAAACGCGAAGCTGGCGACATTTACGCTCGCCTTTCGTGGTGAGCGCTGTTGGTTAAACAGAAACTACAAGGGGGTAACGCATTTGTAGACGCCGGCAATAATGACGAAGGACCCATCGCAAGTCGTACGGCTGAATTTATCGGGGCGGAGGAGCATATGGTTCAGGTTACGGAGGTTGATCTTGTGAGGGTACTCGAAGATGCTATTTGGCATGCTGAGCATCCTATCAACACATTCCACGCTTCCGGTAAATACTTGCTCTCAGAATTGGTGCGCGAAAAGGGATACAAGGCATGTAGAATTGCTCTGCTCCAAGAACTGGGATCTGATATCTAAACTTGATTCAGGTTGTCTTGTCCGGCGAGGGGGCTGACGAATTCTTCGGCGGATATGCTTGGCTACCCGTCGACTATCTTCGCCAGCCTGACTCTGCCGGTGCAGCGCTCGGCCTGGTCCTTCCCTCGGATTCAGACCGCGCAGCTATCCTGAGTCGGATCCAATTATCATCCGTGCCTGTTTTATCTCTCAGCAAAAACTCGTACACGGACGCGCAGCTTGGGCGAAAGATGCTCGGGGGCATAAGCGCTCATCGCGCATACGCTGCCTCGTCTACCGCTCCGGCCGAGGTATACAATCCTGCCGCCCTGAATGAGGCGGGCACGCCCGACGCAACCAGGGCCATTGCGGAGTCGACTGACCCTCGTGTCCGCGACAAGGCCATCTCAGGCCAGTGGCACTCGTTGAATGTCGCTTCGGTCAGGCGCCCAATGATTTTCCTCCGTCCTTTCATCTGATTTGGGAGCTACTATAGTATGTGACGGCGAAAACTATACTCCAGCAAATTATTCTCAACTCCATGGGAGAACGCATGGAGATGGCTCATTCAGTTGAGGCCCGGCCACCGTTCCTGGACCATCACTTGGTCGAGTACGTCAACACCTTGCCTCCGTGAGCCTGGTCCTATTACCAAAATAATTCAATGACCGACAATGTTGTTTCCCTAGATCTTTGAAAGTTCGCCCAGTCCAAAGGGATGGAGCCGGGGTTTGGACATTCACGGATAAGTGGATACTCAGAGAGGCGGTCAAACCATACGTCACCGAAGAACTATTTCTGCGCAAAAAACTTAGCTACAATGCTCCTCCATCTCGTCGGGCTGATGGCGACTCGACCCTGGTTCCCCTCCAGATACATCTCAAGGAGCGCATTACGCAGGAAAATATCGAACGCCTAGGGTTTCTCGATTGGCCCTACTTGAAGGATCTACTCACCAGTTACCTGGCGGACCCTGTTTTTCCCGCCGATGGGTCTCTGGACACCCGCGCTCAAATTCTGATGCATGCATTGAGCTTTGTAGTGCTGCAGGAAAGGTTCAATGTTCCCAGTTGGACCCCTTGAGTCTATGCCATGGCTGTATGCGGTATCTAATGAATTTAACAGTACTAGGTAGTAGGAGCAGATGTTGGTCCCCCATAAACCTCAGATCTGGGCATCCTAACACAGTGAAGTTACCCAAGATAAACCGACACGAGTCATTAGGGGGAGTCAGAGTCGACGATTCAGCATCGATTCTCGCTCGATTCGGGTTTCGATTCTGTTTCGATTCTTGGACAGAATCGACTGAGAATCGACAGCTGACTCTGACCGTCCCGACTCTCGGTTCGATTCTGGGTTGATTCTTGGAATCAGAATCGATTCAAGAATCGACGCTGAGCGCAGAATCGACCGAGAATCGACGCAGTTCCTCCTTCCGAGGAGGAACTCGATCGATTCTGAATGATTCTCTGCTTCCATTTCGATTCTCGAGCCGTCGAGTCTGGTTCGATTCTAGTTTCAGAATCTTTTCAGAATCGATTCGAGAATCGTCTCTGAATCGTTGACCCTGCCCCCTATTGGCTCGTATTCGGGTCGCCTTGGTGAGAAACAAAGAGTCCGATGTCAATCCGGCGCGGTACGCGACGCGTTGTGTGTCGTTGTTTTGAAAGTGATGACCATCAGGGATCCTCATTTGTTGGCGTTTCACTCTCACTCTCATCTCGTTTTCGCAGGTCTACCGCAGCTGTAGATTCACAAGCAATGTCCATGGCGCTCAC